TTCCTTAATTAAAAAAAGTTGGGGCCGGGCGCGGTGGCGCAAGCCTATAATCCCAGCACTTTGGGAGGCCGAGGCGGGTGGATCACGAGGTCAAGAGATCGAGACCATCCTGGTCAACATGGTGAAACCCCGTCTCTACTAAAAATACAAAAATTAGCTGGGCACGGTGGTGAGTGCCTGTAATCCCAGCTACTTGGGAGGCTGAGGCAGGAGAATTGCTTGAACCCAGGAGGCGGAGGTTGCGGTGAGCCGAGATTGTGCCATTGCACTCCAGCCTGGATAACAAGAGTGAAACTCCGTCTCAAAAAAAAAAAAAAAAAAAAAAAAAAAAGTTGGTTAGGTACAGTGGCCTGTAATCCCAGCACTTTGGGAGGCTGAGGCAGCTGGATTACCTGAGGTCAGGAATTTGAGACCAGCCTAGCTAACATGGTGAAACCCCATCTCTACTAAAAATACAAAAATTATCCAGGTGTGGTGGCTCATGCCTGTAGAGCCAGCTACTTGGGAGGCTGAGGCACAAAAATCACTTGAACCTGGGAGACAGAGGTTGCAGTGAGCCAAGATCACGCCACTGTATTCCAGCCTGGGCAACAGAGTAAGACTCAGCCTCAAAAAAATAAATAAATAAATAAATAAATAATAAATTAAAAAATTTAAAATGTTAGGCCGGGCGCGGTGGCTCACGCCTGTAATCCAAGCACTTTGGAGGCCAAGGCAGGCGGATCACCTGAGGTCGGGGGTTCAAGACCAGCCTGGCCAACATGGTGAAACCCTGTCTATAAAAAATAAATAAAGAATAAAATTTAAAACGTTAAGGAGGAAAATTTTGTCACTACATTACATTTTATGTTGTCACTACATTTCACCTATGTCATTGAAATAAACTTATCATTTGAATATATTTTACTGTCTAAATATTTGCCTAGATTTTAAAAATAAGTAAATGCAGGTATATAAATATTTGACAAAGTAGTTATCTTCTACAACCACTTACATCACATCAGGGAAGAGAAAATGCTAGATATCTTGCCTGCGGCTAGCCTTATAACAATAATGGTCCTGTCCTCAGAGAAGAAACACATAAAACTCTCAAACCTCATTCCAATAACCGGACTTAAAGGGTTAAACATACCATATGAGGAAAGACAGTTTAACTTGATTAAAAGATGACTGTGGCTTTTTGTGACGGAAACAGTGAACCCATCTCAGAATTTTCATGTATTGATTTCCAGGCAGCATATCAGCATTAGCTTGGGATCGTCAAACTATGCTTTTCAGCCTCAGTACGAATCTCAGAAAAACAGCTGAAATGAATAGAAGTTTCTTTGGAGTTTCTTTACCTGCATTTTCAGGACTGTGTAAGGGACAGACCACAAGCATTAGAATCAAAAATTGGACTTGACTTCCATCTCAGACCTCAGGCAGGTTCCATAACCTCTCCAAATCTGTTTCGTCATCTATAAAATATAAAATAATATCTACTTTGCAGGGATGCTATGAGGGTTATGAGTGATCTATATAAAATGCCTCTCCCATCACAATTAATGAGAGCTTAGTGTGTTTACAATTGCATGTTCCTCTTTTCCCTTCCCTACATCTCCCATACAGCTCTCAGCACACAGTAAGAATGCAGAAATGTTTGCTGAATTAAATGAAACTATTTAGTTTCATTTAATTTTATTTTACTATTAGATGGTAGATAGATGGAGTTAGTGGGAAGAATTGTTAAGACTACACCAGGCTCAGCCGGGCATGGTGGCTCATGTCTATAATCTTCAAGAGGAGAAACACATGAAACTCTCCCTAGCACTTTGGGAGGCCGAGGTGGGTGGATCACCTGAGGTCAGGAGTTCAAGACCAACCTGGCCACCATGGTGAAACCCCATCTTTAAAAAAAAAAGAAACTCTCAAACATCATTGCAGTAACTGGACTTAAAGGGTTAAACATAACATATGGGGAAAGCTAGTTTAACTTGATTAAGAGATCACTGTGGCTCTTTATGACGGAAATGAACTGGCCTGACCCATCTCAGAATTTTCATGTATTAATTTCCAGGCAGCATATTTCCACACAGTGGCTCGCTTGAACCCAGGACATGGAGACTGCAGTGAGCCCTGATCATGCCACTGCACTCCAGCCTGGGAAACAGAGCTAGACACTGTCTCAAAAGAAAAAGAAAAAAAAGGACCATACCAGATTGAGGTAAGAGGATCACTTGAAGCTACAAGTTAGAAACCTCATCTCTTTTTTTTTTTTTTTTTTTTTTTTTTTGAGACAGAGTTTCGCTCTTGTTACCCAGGCTGGAGTGCAATGGCGCAATCTCGGCTCACCGCAACCTCCGCCTCCTGGGTTCAAGCAATTCTCCTGCCTCAGCCTCCTGAGTAGTTGGGATTACAGGCACGCACCACCATGCCCAGCTAATTTTTGTATTTTTAGTAGAGACGGGGTTTCACCATGTTGACCAGGATGGTCTCGATCTCTTGACCTCGTGATCCACCCGCCTCGGCCTCCCAAAGTGCTGGGATTACAGGCTTGAGCCACCGCGCCCGGCCTGAAACCTCATCTCTTAAAAAAAAAAAAAAAAGAGTATACCAAAATCCTCCCGTGGCAGATCGCTTGTTCACTTGAGAGCTTCATCTCCCACTTCCTCTTCCTCACATCTATCAATTACCAAGTTCTATCTATTCAAGTTCCCAGGATTACTAGAATCTACCGACTTCCCTTAGATTCTGCTACTACTGCCTTAGTTCAAGACGTCATCTCCTCTCTCACCTGGTCTACAACGAAGGCTGGTCCCCTCATAGTCTGTTCTCGCCCCTCTACAGTCCTTTCTCTTCACCTATGGGCAATTACTGAATGCCTTGCAAGGCTAGTCCAGACTCTCAGTGTATAAATCACCCCCCGACATAAGTAATTCCATCTTAGAAAAACCCTCCATTTTCTATTTCATAGGTACTTTGCTAACAAAGATGTTTTCCTGAATGAACAAATTTTTAAAAAGAACACAAACAAGCACATTCATTCACTATCAGTTCTCACCAGAGGTCCCCGTGACTGTAAAAGAGCCAATTCCTTTAGCGACTGGAAATTGCCACTTTCACTAACACCGTCTTGCAGTCACTTGTGATAAGAACTCAGAATTTGCCACTGAAAGCTCTTGCCACATCAAAGGCTCTTCCTTTCCAGAACGATGGACCCCCAGCCCCAGACCAGGAGTCCTTTGTCTTCGTCACTCCCTTCGGACTGGTTCATTAACCCTTTCTCCTCTTTTTCCTCTTGATGTTAAATATTACTTTGTTTGTTGTGGAATGTTGAATCTATGACATTGATATATTGATTAAGTATGCTAGTATGTATGGTTTGCGATAGTTACTGACTTATGGAGTGGCTTGAACTATGTGCTCTGACTACAGAGTGAATGGGAAGGACTAAGGAGAATTGCCCCTTTGGAAACTTCACGTAGCTCCTGGATTTTGTGATTGAAATAACATAAAAAACATGACTGACATTGTGGAGAGACACAAACGTGTGTGGAACTGGTTATCTCTAATCTCGCACTGGTATGATACTCAAGAGAGGCTGAGAGGCCCAGAACACTTCCCTTGTTCAAGGCTCTGCATGAAGAGGAGAAGGAAGAATTTATACGATATTTTATTTTATTGAGATGGAGTCTTGCTCTGTCGCCCAGGCTGGAGTACAATGGTGAGATCTTGGCTCACTGCAACCTCTGCCTCCTGGGTTCAAGTCTCCTGCCTCAGCCTCACAAGTAACTGGGACTACAGGCATGTGCCATCATGTCCAGCTAATATGTGTATTTTTAGTAAAGATGGGTTTCACCATGTTGGCCAGGCTGGTCTCGAACTTATGACTTCAAGTGATCCACCAGCCTTGGCCTCCCAAAGTGCTGGGATTACAGGCCTGAGCCACTGCACCCAACCTAATTGTTCAATATTTTAAATGTTTAAATGACTGGCAAGTTGTAGGTGCTCAAAAAAATATTTGTTGAATGACTACAACAAATTAGCACTGTTGACACAAAAAAGGCAATGCAATATGTATGTTATTTAATATTTGTAGATGTTTATTTAAAGATCTGAATTCATACTACACTGCAGACAGTTGCTTAGAAGCATACAAGTTTCAAGTTCTGTCACCCTGTGTATACTTTTTTTTTTTTTTTTGAGATAGAGTCTTGCTCTTGTCATCCAGGCTGGAGTGCAGTGGGCATGATCTCAGCTCACTGTAACCTGCGCCTCCCGGTTCAAGCGATTCTCATGTCTCAGTCTCTCGAGTAGCTGAGATTACAAGCACGTGTCACTATGCCCAGCTAATTTTTATATTTTCAGTAGAAATGAGGTTTCACCATGTTGGCCAGGCTGGTCTCGAACTCCCAACCTCGGCCGATCTGCCCGCCTCAGCCTCCCAAAGTGGTGGAATTAGAGGCAAGAGCCACCGCGCCCGGCCACCCTGTGTATACTGTTAACTGGAGACAACTACCAGGTCTAAGTTTGCAGAGGTAAGGGGAGGACGCCGACCTCTGCAAGGTCCTTGACCCAGGGGCCCCCTGCTGCTGGGGAGATAGGGACCTCCTAGGACAGGGGCTGGATCCTCAAGACGTGGCAGGAACAATGGGGTCGCACTAAGTCCCCAGCGGCTCCGGCACTGCGACCCCTGAGGCGTTCCTCTGCCACTCTCAACCCAGCCCCTCCTAACCGGCCGGGGGAGGCAGTTTCCATGATATTTCTCTGTCCCGCCGGCAGGCGGCGCCCTCCAGCCCGTTTCGTCCGGCCGGACGGGGCGCGCGCACTCAAAGGCTGCGGAGCTCCGACGCCCGCATTTCCTGGTCGGGAGCCCGTTGAGCCACAGCGGGGTCGCCGCGGGGTCCCAAGGCCTTGCTTACCCGCCCCTCCCGGGAGCGCGCGGGGCGCGGCGGGGCGCGGCGGGGCGCGGCGGGGCGGGGCACGGCGGGGCGGGGCGGGGCGGGACCAGGCGGGCGTGCTGAGCCCTCGCCCCTCCCTCGGGCAGTCACCTGGGCACCCGCGCTACAGGTGCCGGGGCCTCGATCTTGCGGAGCCGGCGGCCATCGATCTTCGGGTGAGTGCGGGCGCGGGTGGAGGGCGCCCGGGGTGTTCGCCACCGCCGTTCCCGCCGCGGTTCAGGCAACGGTCCCCGCGCCGCTCACGACCTGCCCGGCGGGGCGCGTCTGGGAGGGACAGGAGCTTCCCTTGCAGGAACTCGGGGGCTGGGATTCTCTGCTACTAACGAGATCCAGGAGCGGGGCGCAAACGCCCGAGCCTGCCCGCGTCGGGGTCGGGGTGACCGCGGAGCCTTAGTAGCTGGGGTCTGTCGTGGGTTTGAGGGCTGGGGTCCGGTTAATGGGCGTGTCCCGCACCCAGACCCTCGCCACCCTCTCTCGAGGGGAAACGGTTTTTAAACATGACAAACCCAGCGAGGTTATGGAAATGAGTGTATGCAACTTCGCTCTTTCCCGGCGCCCATCGGTGAACAGTCAAGCACACGCACACACGCGCGCGGGGGCATTCTTTGGGGCCGACTTTGCATCCCCGCGCCTGGCCTCGGGCGTTGGGGGCGGCGCGCCCGCGCGCGCCGGGCACTGGGATTAAGCCTCAGGGCTTTGCTGGGCGGTTTGTTTTCCTAGGTCGTGGCGTCCCGGTAGGTTCCTGGCTGGCTCAAAATTCCCTCTAGATTACCTGCGACCGCCCCCAGGAACCCAGCGGCTGAAGCTCCTTTTCCCACCCGCCCAGGTGGCCTCGAGGCGGTGGCAGGGCCGCCTCCTGCAGTCCGGAGGCGAGCGCACGAACCCGGCCTCCGGAGGAAGGTTCAGCTGGGAGAAACCGCTCCCGCTTGGTGCTACACTTGCGCAAAATGATTCTGGTAAGGGGAAGCGTTGCTTAAATCCCAGAAATAACCCCTACCGCGAAGCATTGCCAAAGACACAGGAACGAGTGTTTAGCTCTCAGGATTGTTACTGCCTCGAGTGAAATGGTTTCGTGTGTATGAATATAAACATATATGTATACATTTGACAAGCTCTTAGGCCGGCGGTTAGTTGTGGTATCTCCAGAAGAGCGTTATTATAGTTATTTGGGAATTGTCAGTGGGGATCAGCCTGACTGCTATTGGAATTGGAGGAGGACCTGTGTGCAGTTTCAAAACGAATGGTAATGCAAGGTGTGGACCTTGGTTGGATCCTGATTTGATGAAAAAATGTATTTTAAAACGGAGACAATGGCCGAGTGTGGTGGCTCACGCCTGTAATCCCAGCACTTTGGGAGGTCAAGGCGAGTATTCAGGAGGCAGAGGGCAGGAGTTCGAGACCAGCCTGACCAACATGGTGAAACCCACCTGTACTAAAAATACGGAAATTCGCCGAGTGTGGTGGCGGAGGCCTGTAATCCCAGCTACTTGGGGAGGCTGAGGTAAGAGAATCGCTTGAACCCGGGAGGCGGAGGTTGCAGTGAGCCGAGATCCGGCCACTGCACTCCAACCTGGGAGAAAGAGTGAGACTCCATCTCAAAATAAGTAAATAAGTAAAGGAAATTACTGATTATTTGATGGTATCAAGGATATTATAATAGTTCTGTTTAGTTGCTTTTGGTAATGGTTCATGATTAAGGTTTTAAAAACCCCTATAGAGACACAGACTGAAGTTGAAATACAGCTTTGGGCTTTGCTGCAGAATTACTCCGTTTTAGATGCTAACAGAGAAGTGAGGGGAACAAGATGAGGGGAGATTGTCCATGGATTGTTAATAGTTGAAGCGGGAGAGAACACGTGGACACAGGGAGGGGAACATCACACCCTGGGGCCTGTCAGAAAGGGGGTAAAGGGGAAGGAGAGCATTAGGACGAATACCTAATGCATGCCAGGCTTAAAACCTAGATGACGGGTTGATGGGTGCAGCAAACCACCACAGCACATGTACACCTGTGTAATGAACCTGCACGTTGTGCACTCGTATCCCAGAACTTAAAGTAAAAATAGTTGAAGCTGGATGATGGGTATGGAAGTCCTTACACTGTTGTTTCGGTATTTGTGTGTGTTCAGTATGTGTGTGTGTTCCTTTAAATGGAACACCACCACCTGTGGAGGTTTTTAGTAAGGTAGGTTTGGCACTGCAGCTGAGTCTAGATGCAAGATCTTCCACAGACGTTCGTTCTTTGTAAATTGGGTGTCAAGCCTGCTTCTCCAGACTGTCATAAAAAGTTTTTCTCTCTCTACTGGAGATGCCGATTTTTTTTTTTTTTTTTTTTTGCTCAGATGGCAGAGGATGTTTGCTGAGTGTGACAAAGCTGAGTGGATCAAGTTGATGCAGGTGGATGCTAGGTCAGCTTTTTTTTTATACAAAGGGCATTAGCCAGCCTGGCGGTTGATTGCCTCCAGTCGGGTGGATTGTATAAAACGTGTTAGCAGTTTTTCCTAATTGCCCAAATCCTTTCCAAGTTACACTCATCAAAAAATAGAGTTGAAGCCGGGCGTGGTGGCTCAAGCCTGTAATCCTAGCACTTTGGGAGGCCAAGGCGGGTGGATCACGAGGCGAGAGATCGAGACCATCCTGGTCAACATGGTGAAACCCCGTCTCTACTAAAGATACAAAAAATTAGCTGGGCATGGTGGCACGTGCCTGTAATCCCAGCTACTCAGGAGGCTGAGGCAGGAGAATTGCCTGAACCCAGGAGGCGGAGGTTGCGGTGAGCCGAGATCGCGCCATTGCACTCCAGCCTGGGTAACAAGAGCGAAACTCCGTCTCAAAAAACAAAAACAAAAACAAAAACAAAAAAACTAAAAAATAGAGTTGAGAGTAGTGAACACATGTGTCCGTATACGCGTAGAATTTATGTACCCTTCTGGAAGAGTTGACATGGTAAAAACAAAGCACAGGATGAGTGGACAGCTGCTTATTGCTTGAGAGAGATCTTACCAGAGTTGTGTTGCCTTTTTCATCTTTACCTCATTTGCTTCAGGGATCATGACATGTAAATATTTAGCAAAGAACTGACTCCTAAAAGTTCTACATGGTGTTAACGCCTTTTTTTTTTTTTTCAAGAACCATGTTTGACAGACGGTAAGGAAGGAGTAATAGCTGTATCTTCATCAGGCTTGCTCATTTTTTTCCTCCAGATTTAGCCTATAATTTCTACTCATTCTGTCATGCTTGATTAGTAATTTGGAAAATTAGTGATTCTGAGAGGGAGCTACTGCCGTTAATAGAGGGAGTAAGAGGAGGCATATTCCTGAAAGATAAATCCACATTTTTTAGTAGCTTCGGTATAACTGAATTTAATGCCTTTTGATTTCAAGATAAAACAAGTCAAATAGATGAAATCTGTGACAGTTAAATGTTGAAGTGTTCAATGAATCTCCTCAGCCTGGGCCTTGCTCTTGAGTCATGTTTTAAGACCTGAATCTTTAGATTCACTAAACTAAATGCCGAAGCGTGTCCTAATTTCACTGCTGTGATGGGAAAATAATGAGACAACCAACAAAAATCCCCTTATATTGTGGGAAAATACGACGGCGAATTCATGGTGGTACTTAAATGAGGTAGAATTGTTTGGTTTCTGGTTCTGTTTTCTTGGTATGAATAAAAAGTATGCAGCTGTTATGTAACTGTTTTATACCTCAGTTTCCTCTCTGGTCCCCTAAAACATGGAAGGAGAAAAACTTGCCAGGCCCTTTAGTGACCAACAGTGACCTCATGTATACTCGTCTCTGTAGGAGGGTGGTAGATTTGGACTCTGGAGAGTTGATTGCTAATAGCCATTTTAAGGACGTACCACAAATGTGGCCCATTTCACCCTGCGTTACATTATTAAGGATATAAACATATTAGAAGGGCTAATTGTTCCTTTGTTGGGCTAGAAATGATAGGAAAGGGTGTTGGCAATCAAGATGACGGTTATTCTTCTAGATTCGTAAGCACTTTGCTTTCATCTGCGTCACCTCATCCCATCCTGTGAGGCGGAGAGTGGTGATAGAGGATAATTTTGGTTTTTAATAGATGGAAACACTGAAACATAAGGAAGTCAGCCTGGCAACATAGTGAGACCTTGACTCCAGAAAAAAAATAAATAAATAAAAATAATTAGCTGGGTATGGTGGCACATGCCTGTAGCCTTGAGCCTGGGAGGTCGAGGCTGCAATGAGCTGTGATAACACCATTGTACTCCAGCCTGGGTGACAGAGCAAAATACTGCCTCAAAAAAAAAAAAAAAAAAAAAAAAAGAAATCTAAAGATTGCTTTAAATCACTTCTTTAGGGAGATAGGGAAGGAAATGTATCATTTATCAAGAGTTCATTGGCCAAAAAAAAGTTCATGGGCTGGGTGTGGTGGCTCGCATCTGTAATCCCAGCACTTCGGGAGGCTGAGAGGAGGGAGGTTTGCTTGAGGCCAAGAGTTCAAGACCATCCTGGGCAACATAGCGAGACTCCCCCATCTCTACAAAAAGAAAATAGTACTAATAAAATGGGCCAGTGGGGTGGATGGGCTTGAGTGAAGCAGTTCCAGGCTGCATATGATTGCACTGCTGCACTCCAACCTGGGCAACAGGGCAGGACTCTGTCTCTTAAAAAAAAAAAGAGTTCATGGTAGTCTTCACATATGTTTTTGTTTTTTGGTTTGGTTTGGTTTTGAGACAGTTTTTTGCTCTGTTGCCCAGGCTGGAGTGCAGTGGTGTGATCTCGGCTCACTGCAAACTTTGCCTCCTGGGTTCAATCGCTTCTCCTGCCTCAGCCTCCCCAGTAGCTGGGATTACAGATGCCTGCTACCATGCCTGGCTAATTTTTGTATTTTTGGTAGAGAAGAGGTTTCACCATGTTGGCCAGGCTGGTCTCCCGCTCTTGACCTCAGGGGATCCCACCTACCCTGGCCTCCCGAAGTGCTGGGATCACAGGTGTGAGCCACTGTGCCGGGCCCACACGGGCTTTTAATTCTGACAATTGTCTCTAGGGTTGGGTATTATCAGCTCATTTTGCAGGTGAAAGTTGTAGCTAGAGGTTAATAGTCTTTGAGGTCTTACAGCTAGTAAAAGTAGAGCTAAGATTCAAACTCGGCTCTGTCAGATTTGACAGTCTGCATTATTTCTGGCAATTTCACACTCTTTAGCAGGAAGCAGAGCAACACGCCCAGTAGTTTCGTAGTCTAGGCAAACTGTCTCCCTACCACACCCTTCTGTCCTGGTGACAGACAGGGGGCATGGGTCACACCCAACCAACAGATGTTGTCGGACCAGCATACAGTTTAAAACATTGAGTCAGTGTTGAAAATTGGGGAATTTCAAATATTCTGCCCTAATGATTCCCAAAGGCAGTACTAGAGCAGCTGCCTCTTTAGGGAAGGGGGGTACATTCTAGTCCCCTCAACCCCAGCCATCCCTAAAGTAGTCCCCAGCCCTGAGATTGCATGTCTTTTTTTTTTTTTTTAAAGGTAAGAGATCTTTGTCTGTGTCTCTACCCCAAATGGAATAACAAGATAGGTGGAGAGGCTCTTGTTGCAAGAGAAATGGGACAGAACATACTCCTTTGAGGAAATGAAAGGAGTAACCTTGCGCTTAGTCTCGGTGCTTCTCTGTCAGACCAGTACAAGCCGCGCTGGCAGTGTTTCCCACGCTGCCTATTTTTCTTTCTCGCTTACCCGGAACATAAGAGTCGGATACCCGCTGCAGTTTGACAGGGATGGAGTAGGTGTGGGCAGGCCTCAGGAGGGAAAGGGAGTGCCTCCATCTCCCACACCATTAGGTCTTTGTGAGTAGGCAGGTGGGGCTCGTGCATCTTGGGGGTTTTCCAGGGTGTCCTGCAGGGATGGGGCACCAAGAAGCCCTTGCATCCCTCTCCTTTAAGCACCCTGACTCTGGGACCTGTGTGGATCCTGAGGT